TTGCTAGGAAACCAAGTCACGTGAGTGAAAACACTCTATAAACTGGAATGTGGCTATCCTCGTGTAAAAGGCCCTTGATTATTTTCTCCCCCTCCGATAGTTGATTAAAAGCTTTTCTTTTCGGCCATTTTTCTGTTGCCTTGACTTCAACTAGAATGACACCAATGTTCAAGTGCACAATCGCAAAGTCAATTTCTGCCAGTTCGATCGTCTGGCCAGCAGGGATACAATACTTGATGAATTCTGTGAACTTTAGCTTGGTCAGGACAAACATCGGCTGGTTCTCTTTTTCTCCAAACTGCTTCAAAATGTCAAAGATTTTCTCCTCGGCGTCATCTCCCCTAGTCGTGTCATGTACGAGTGGTTTGAGCGGAGCTACGCCTGGAAGGTCGCCGACTGGACTGATAAAGTCTCTTGGAAACAGAGATGGACACATGATAGTTCCATTTTGCCATTCACCGTACAAACTTAAAAAGTTTTGCTTTATACCTTCAAGCAGTTCGTACCTCTTTCCTCCAGGACCTTTAACGACTGGAAAAGCCATTTCTATGTGGATAGAACAGGCAGCTAGTTGTTAATAAAAGCCACCTCTCATAATCGCGGAAGTTTTATTGTATTATAAATATTTCATACACCTAGCCTCCCACGCAAACGTTCTTAGGGGTTCGTCACGCAGAAGGCTGATTGGTTGTCTCGAAACAAAGGCGAACGGAAGTGGCTACTGGTTGAAGCAGACGCTCGTCGGGGAGGAAAGATTGCGTGACGAACCCCTCAGAACGTTTGCGTCGTATAGTCCGGTGGCTTACTGCAAAATTTTGGCGAGATCTATACAGAGCGGACAAAAGCACCAAACTTTGCATGGTTGTAGCTTAGGGCATGTTAGTCAATATTAGGATCGGTGCCCACAGCTACCTCTTCAGGATTTGCAGCAACTGCTCGCTGAAGTTCTTTAACAACCTTCAATGATGGGTGCCCTGTGCCGAAAATTGCAATCACTTGTTTTTTGCCATTTTTTGGTGAAAAATCACATAAAAAGGGAAGTAGATGGAAAAAGAAACTGTATTAATACTATTATTATTGAAACCAATGACTAAAACAAGTCAACTTAATGATATAGCAATTATGATGTGCAATGGAGGGTGCCCTGTGCTAAAAAAAATCAATCCTTTTTTTTGCCATTATTTTGATGAAAATCACATGAAGGACATGAAAATAAAAAAGAAATTGTATTATTATTGAAACCAATAAAAAAAAACATGCCAACTAAATGGAAAATCCAAGGAAGCTGTTTTCAGACGCATACTTAGTCCCAAATAGCCTTTCAAGGTGGCGGCTGTGTCTTTTCATGGACTGTAAGTATCTGCTACAATAAATTGCCGTTTTTTTAGGGGAAATTGTATACAATTTNCGAGATCTATACAGAGCGGACAAAAGCACCAAACTTTGCATGGTTGTAGCTTAGGGCATGTTAGTCAATATTAGGATCGGTGCCCACAGCTACCTCTTCAGGATTTGCAGCAACTGCTCGCTGAAGTTCTTTAACAACCTTCAATGATGGGTGCCCTGTGCCGAAAATTGCAATCACTTGTTTTTTGCCATTTTTTGGTGAAAAATCACATAAAAAGGGAAGTAGATGGAAAAAGAAACTGTATTAATACTATTATTATTGAAACCAATGACTAAAACAAGTCAACTTAATGATATAGCAATTATGATGTGCAATGGAGGGTGCCCTGTGCTAAAAAAAATCAATCCTTTTTTTTGCCATTATTTTGATGAAAATCACATGAAGGACATGAAAATAAAAAAGAAATTGTATTATTATTGAAACCAATAAAAAAAAACATGCCAACTAAATGGAAAATCCAAGGAAGCTGTTTTCAGACGCATACTTAGTCCCAAATAGCCTTTCAAGGTGGCGGCTGTGTCTTTTCATGGACTGTAAGTATCTGCTACAATAAATTGCCGTTTTTTTAGGGGAAATTGTATACAATTTGAATCACGACAGGCTTAAGTGAATTTTAAGTTCTTCTTGGTGATAAATTTGTTATTGAAAGCCACATTTTCTCTTCACATTTTGTGCCGATTATGAATGACTATACTGAGTTTATTTTCGTACTGGTTAAAATTAATAATAGTAAAAATAGCTTCTTGCTATAGCGTTCATATCCTGAGCACATGGTGTTTTACAATGTTAAAGAGGAAACAAAATTATATCTCGAGCATGAAATAACATGTATTAAAATCTATTTGCAATTCACAAAGAACAAGAGAGGGAAACCAGAATTCATCTGTTTTAAAATTATTTTGCCAAGTTTATATATAATGGTAATAAGTCGTGCAAAAAAACTAAATATACATTCTATAAGTATAGGTATATGATCTGCAGATATTAAAGACGTATTACAAAAGTAGTGACTTACTCTCTAAAAATTGCGTAAAAAGATATGTTCTCAGTCCTTTCTTTCAACTGGCTAAAGATGGTGACTTGTGAAAATCTAGCTAATGGTAGTGAGTTTCACAGTTTAGGGGGGGCACAATGAAAAAGTCTTTTCCCCGTGAGTTTTCGAGGTTGTTCTAAGAGCTGCTGAGATGCGGACCACAAGTTCCTGGAAGGCCTTCGAAAACTGTCCGCTAGATAGCTAGGTTGAAGGGTATTAAGTGATTTGAAAACTGACAAATTAAGTTTAAAAACAACATGATAACTAACAGGAAGCCAGTGAAGGTCAAATAAATGATGTGTTCGCAACGTTTACGAGTCCGAGTAACGATCCTAGGGGCAGTGTTCTGAACATATTATTAAAAGTTCCTTTAAGTGCATTTTCCTACAACCATAGAGCAAAGAATTGCAATTAATAGTCTGTTTTAGATGTAATAAAAGCATGCACTACAATTTCGCTAGACTCCTGTGTGAGACACTTTCTTATCTTTGATAAATTCCTGAGTTGGTGAAACGATAATCTAAAAAAGAATGCTGAGACGTGTGCGTCAAACAGCAAGTTGTCATCAAATACTACTCCCAGGCTTTGTTGGTGGTGGTTCTTAGCCTTGCATTACCCATAATGACGTCGCTAAAGGGTGGACGAGTACATCGACAAGATAAGCATAATTTCAGTCTTATCATGATTGAGTTTAAACTAGTTTCTACACACCAAGATGGAAATCAGTTGGGATCGTTGTCATATTTACCTGGGGTGAGAATCGAAAAGAGAAGATCTGAGAAACCCAACGGAACAATTATTTATAGAACGCTCCTTGACAATTTACTAGAATTCAAGAAAGAGGACTCTGCCGTCTTGTTGCAATTAAGTTTTATATTGAAATCACTACAGTAGTAAACACGTTACTGAAGTGCAAAGTGGCATCAATCCTGTCACCTTACGTCCAAGTTAGAAAAAGCAAACTAGAAAAGAGAAAAAAGCATGTTGAAGCAGATCAGAAACAGCCACTTGGAGATTGTGGCACCAAACGAGCTTGTAAGACTGACACTATAGCGGGACTGCAAAGTGTGTGCCTCTGTTTGTAACGAATACAGCTTAATATGAAGTTCGGCAAGTATAAAGAAATGTGTATCATTGTCCACTGCATTTGCTCTGTACTCAGTGAGTTCAACAAATGCTCTTGATTTATCTAATTTCTCGTCTTCCTCGACCTTCGAATTCCAAGCTGCTCCACTTTTCTTCTTGCGTTCCTCTGACACGTATGCCTATTTCGCACTTCAGACTTTTTAGTACATTTTCAAGGAGCGTTCTATAAATTAATGCTTGTACTGTTAAACCAGTGGGCTTCTCAAATCTTCTTTTGCTGATTCTTGGCAAATATAACATCGATCCCAGTTAATATCCATCCTGGTGTGTAGAAAACATCTCAGCTTCAGAAACCTTTTAACTAACCAGTAAGTCAATAAACTCAGTATAGTCATTCATAATCGGCACAAAATATGAAGCGAAAATGTAGCTTTCGATAACAAATTTATCCCCAAGAAGAGCTGAAAACTTCACTTAAACCTGTCGTGATTCAAATTGTGCACAATTTCCCCTAAAAAACGGCAATTTATTCTAGGAGATACTTACAGTCCATGAAAAGACACCTTGAAGCCGCCATCTTGAAAGGCTATTTGGGACTGAGTACACGTCTGAAAACATCTTCCTTGGATTTTCCATTTAGTTGACTTGTTTTTGTCATTGGTTTCAATAATAATACAATTTCTTTTTTTATTTTCTTGTCTTTCATGTGATTTTCATCAAAATAATGGAAAAAATCAAGGAATTGATATTTGTAGCACAGGATACCCACCATGGTACATCATAATTGCTATATCATTAAGTCGACTTGTTTTAGTCATTGGTTTCAATAATAATAGTATTAATACAGTTTCTTTTTCCATCTACTTCCCTTTTTATGTGATTTTCATCAAAAAATGGCAAAAAATAAGTGATTGCAATTTTCGGCACAGGCCACCCATCATGGAAGGTTGTTGAAGAACTTCAGCGAGCAGTTGCTGCAAATCCTGAAGAGGTAGCTGTGGGCACCGATCCTAATATTGACTAACATGCCCTAAGCTACAACCATGCAAAGTTTGGTGCTTTTGTCCACTCTGTATAGATCTGAGCCTTTAGCCACCTGACTAGTAGGCTATAGATCATACACCTTGCATCAGGTTTAGTAACCCACAAAGGCTTCTGGGGGCCACGTGACGGTCGGTCTAGCGTGCTAACAGAGGGCCGGGTGGGGCTAGGGTATATCCTACTATTTCAAACCATTAAAACCATTAAAAGTCAGTATTTTAGTTAGTTTAAAACCCGTCATATTTTTGTTTCCAGCTTGACCAGTATATTTATTTCCACTCTCCTCCTCATTTTTTCCACCTCACCCCACAGTAAGCCCGTCCGTACCCTGCTGAATGCAAAAGAAACTTTGTGAAGTTTCCATGAAGTATTGGTCATTCAAATCCAATATGGCAGCTTCTTTGAGCAGCACCGTGATCGTGAGGTGCTAAAATGGGCCTTGATCCAAGTGAATCATTCAGACAACTTCGTCCCATATGCATTAAGTTGTCGAAGGAGCCCTCTCCTCAAAACATAAAGGATCTCGAATGCAAACTACGAACCGTAGATGCCACTCATCTATCCCAGCTAGTGGAGTATGTACTGTTTCCACTGAAACTTGCGCTACAGAGCCCTAATGCTACAAATGAATTGCAAGAAACCGCTGTTGGATGCATGGAAACTCTGTTTACGCGCGCTTGTGTTTCCCAGCTGGGCACTTTTGAAGAGATTTTTAGTTATTTGTGTATGCTTCTGAATTCAAAAGACAGTGGTCTCGGTCAAGTTGCTGATATACCAGAAGAACTGAAACTCGCTATCGTAAATTGCCTGTCTTGTCTGATCCAACACACTTCTCTGGTTGTTAAAGGTGCTTTCTTTTCACCACATTATTTACCTGTCCTTGGACACGCAGTCAGTATTTTGCTTGCATTAGCTGAGAAAGAGAAAGCTAAAAACTTAAAATTAAGTGCTCTTGGTTGTCTGGTTAACCTTGCCTTCTGCAGTGAAACTAAGAGTGGTGAACATTAAATATTTTAGAGCAAGATGAAGATAGAGAGGCATTGGAAAATGCAATCAAGGATTCATTGTCACTTACCTTCACCTCCTTTATTCCTGGAATATCGATAGCTTTGTGTCGAGTCATCACCGGGGACACCAAGCAAGGACATGCAGTTATCATGCAAGCAGTTGAACTTAGGGGTGACATTCTCTCTCTTGTGATGAATGACAAGTATAATTATAATATGCCAGTTAAACCAGCAGAGAATGAAGATGTCATCTCACAACTTTTTTCTTTCACAACTGAATTGAACTCTGTTGGAGAACTAGCAAACGAAAACGCGAACATTTCCGACTCAAACCCTGAAGAGCAAGATAAAATTCAGAGCTTGAAAGTTAACAGGACCGCTCATTACGGAATCGCGCCTGTAGATACGCGTCGCTAGTAAATGCAAATTTTTCTGTCAATCAAATGTGTCCTATTATTTGTAGGTGGAAATTGGTAAAACATCGTTATTGTTTTGGAGACAATAGAAGAACAAAAGATAACAGAAAGATCAAGTTATGCGGTCTTAAAGCGTGTTGCGTGACTTAAATCAGTTGGAGCATTTCTCCTAGCTTTCCCGCATTAAAACGTTGGAATGAAAAGTCTGAAGCTTAGCTTTTAAAATCTTGATAGCCAAAATAAAAAGGGGTGCCCCAAAAGGCAAGCATTTGGGAATTCAAAATCGATATTTTTGTCTCTAGCGAAATCCGGCGGATGAACAGTAATTTGCATATAAGCGTAAGTGAAGCGAAATAGATACAAATTACCGTGGTTGTAAACACAACGTTTCCTCGAAGTTTTTTTCCTTTTGAAAGCGCAAATTCGCATGAAAGAGCTCAGCTTGCACAAAATAATATAAAATGAAACGAATCAAATCGAAAAGTGGTTAAAAAAAGTCAGGATATTTCAATTCGATGGAAAGTAAGTGATTGGGTAGGTGATTTGCATACTGATAAAAATAACGTCTAGCGCAGTTCAAAACCGTTCGGCTTCCTGAATTGTTTTTCTGGAATTCTATACATTCTGCTGGCCTAAATCGTTAAAATATGTTATGAAGTCAAAATATTTATCAAGTTGAGCGTTTGCATTTCCTTATAAAACAGAGAGTAGCGCGAAAGCTTGGATCTATAGGTTTTCTTAAGTTAAATTACCTTTGTATCGTGGAAACAATACCCTAACACTTGAGTCTTGAATCAAAGAACGCGACATGCGTCGGCTCCCTTTGTGAGCGCGCAAATAGTCATGGGACCCGCGATTTTGCGGGCGACACGGATCTACAGGCGCCGTTCCGTAATGTGATTGGTTTAGAGACACAGCATCAAAGTTGAAAATTGTCATGGAAAGGATGAAGATCATTTCCGTGCATCCTAACTGGAAAGTGCGACTTTCACTCATCAAGTTTTGTGACAAGCTGTTGACAAACTGTTTGGGGTCGTTACAAACCTGTCTCTCTACAATGGTGGTTTACTAGTGGGTTTGATTGAAGACGACTATTCACAAGTTGCATCAGTTAGTAAAACTACCTTACAAAAATTATCCAAGAGGATTGGAAATGGTAAGAAAAATGTAAGTTAATTAGTTTTACCATCAACTTGTATTACATGTAACCCTCTAAGGTTAAGAGAAGGTGCTATTAAAATTGGCCATATTCACACTAGAGAGGGATTATCCATATGGATGGATGATTCTTCTTCAAAATCCATCAAAATTGAGGGCAAAACAGATGGATAAAGTCGGGCAGATTCCTCTATCCAAAATTATCTGTCTGATGTGAATTATCCAACAGATAACCTGTCTCAGATGGATAATCTCTCTCTAGCGTGAATACAGTCATTTTGGTGGAGGCATGTAATGCATTTAAGCAAGGAGGATAACCCTTTACCAGCCTGTAGGAAGATTAACCAACATGATTATTTTGAGCCATACCTATGGACAGATAAGCAGAGAGGAAAAAGGCTTTGAAAGGCAGACAGTGTGTAAGGAAAGTGTTATGAATGAAATGGCATTCAGTGAATTTATTGGGATCCTTGAAACAGAGTGGAGACATGGTGGGCGATAGCCTCCCACGCAGACGTTCTTACGGGTTCGTCATGCAATCATTCCTCAGGTAGGAACGCGTGACGAACCCCTAAGAACGTTTGCGTGGGAGGCTAGGTGGGCGAGTACCTCAAACTTAAGATCTGTAGGTCCTGCAGGTAGAGCTTTGCTATTGTTATTCATTCGTAAAAAAGAAGCTTTGCTCCATTATGTTTCCCTTCTTGTGAGTGATACACATGCTGTACTGCTGGGGGGAAAACTTGTGATAGACTAGCATTCCATTTAGTGGGGGAGTTGCGATACTCTAAGATGCCTCATGTTACAGAATTCAGGAAAATCTCCATCCATGCATGTTGGTCATATAGCTCATGTGCATCTTCATCTTGTACCTTTAGCACCATTGAACCACACTGCAGTAACTTGAGAGACCAACCATATGCCCCCCCCCCCCCCCCTCATTTCCATCATTTTTTAACCGCCCCGGAAGAGTTTTTTTTTGGGTATTCAATTCATAAAAGAGAACCCGAGAGGAGGAGCGACACAGAAAATCTCCCGTATGAAGGCACAATAAAAGCTTTTCACTCAGGAAGGGGGGGTTAAATGCAAGAGATCCAATTAGTAACAGTTCTTGTAAAATGCCTCATGCTGCAGTATATGAGCGTTATTACTACTGCATATACCTCTTGGTCCTTCATTCAAATTACCCCCGGTGCTCACCTTTAACTCACCCATCTTAACTCCCCACCCCCCCTGTATTGATCTGCATTTTTCACACGTCGCGTACAGTCTGTTGTTTGGAAATATGAATTTAAAGGAAACAGTTGGAAAGGAGGAGAGCACATACATGTACAGCAGTCGAGACCTAATAAACTTTTTTCCTCAAGGAAGGGAGGGTCTACAGTGCAGGTACTTAATCTGTATTTGTGACCATTTCACATTTATTTGTTAAGGTCCCAGCACACTGAATGCATTGCTAGAAGAGAACCTTCATTCAACTCTGACAGCACTTCCAAGACTGATGAGAACAGCTGATGATGCCAAAAAAATCCAAAGTCTAAATCTTGTCCTTGGCTACATGAACCTTCTTGAAAACAGGTTGAACAGTTTGCTGAATTCATCTTCACATCTCAAGAGGCTTTCTCTTGCACTGGTGCAGGTAACAGAGCTTAGTGTCTAAAATTTAATTTTGCTTTTTTGATTGGGTGAGTCCTTGATACAAAACATTAACTATGAATTAAAATAATGTTATTTAATTTCAATTTTTCATGGCACATGAATCTATTACTTACTAGATTTTTATGAGAATTTGAAGAAATTTTAGGAATTATTCGCGATGCATGAAAATTCTCAATATTTTTTAGTGAAAGCATTTGGCAAGGGGGTATAGGGAACCCTAATTAACCCTTTACGCCCCAAGATCCACATACAAATTCTCCAGACTGATCTCCATACATTTTTAAAGAATAGTTGAGAGAATTTGGGTTAAGATCAAAGCATTCTTCCTTTGATTATTAATTTAGTAATTCTCAACCTTTACTATTGATCATCTGCTGATGTTGTTAGGAGAAAATTGATGTTAGTCAATCTTGGGACCTAAAGGGTTAAATGCTGCTGGCTGTTTTGGTACATCTACAAATGTATCTCATATTAATTTGATTGGCTTCTTCTATTTAGGACAGTAACTTCTTAGAAATTTTGGGTTAATTTTGTGAACCCTAATATTACTCACTGACAGTTACATTGTACATGTTAATTTCTACAAGGAGCTCCCAACATAAACTGTTTGCCACTTACATGTACATAATTTTTCTTCGAGTCAACCTCTCATAAGGTCTTAAACGGTTTCAATGAGGTTGCGTAGCCATTGTCGCTAATTACTCAACTTGTTTTGCCTTGATGGATTTGAATCATATTATAAATTCATGCCGGAAAAAATAATATTGACATCTGTTGTGTCAGGAGTGCCAGCAAATATCACTCACTCTCCCATTGTTCAATTGTCGTGATGTCACTGGTGGAATTTTCAACTGGTGAAAATTCCTACCTGCCAAACAGGTAGGAAAAGTCCTTTAAAATGGCATAAACAATCAGGAAATAATAAAGGACTTTTAAGTCTACTAACTAGATGCATGTTCAGAAACTGCTGAGAAACAATTGAGTCAGCTCCTGAAACTAATACTTTTCAGGTTACAATTTATAACTAATTTGTAAACTGTGTATTTTAATATTATTGCAGGTGATGTGGGAATTGTAAAAGAAAGGATGCCATATTTTTTGGAAACTGCAGTTGCACCTTCTGAAACAAAGGGGGAAATAACATTGTCCTATCCAGCAAACCAGTTAAGTGGGAGTAAATATCCAATATACCGCTTCAAAGATTTCACTGATGAGAAAGTTAAGGTGGCTGTCAACCAAGTGTGCCATTTGCTTGGTTGCTATGGGGACCTTGCACTTATATGTGATTATTTCCTGGACTTGTTTTATGAGTCAAGGCTCTACCAGAAGCAAGCTGTTTACATCCTGACTGAGATTATGTTTGGTTCCGCCAGAAACACGGTTATCAAATTAAAAACTAGTACCTGTAATGGTAAGAGGTCACACATTATATATCACTGATCTCATGTGCTTTCTGGGATGAATTCAAATTAATCTGTTTCACAGAGTTCTGAATAAGATTAAATCTGTAGCTTCATATCATTAGAAGCAGTGATCTAAGTAATAGATTGCAAATCATAGGAACAGAAATGTGTTGAGTTCAAATCAGATCAGGTTCTTTGATTTCTGACCTTCTAAGAGCAGGTAGTTGTTTCTCAAACCACACATGATTAGTGTTTTCCAATAATAATAAATATATATCTTTTAAATGGACACTCAAATCTTAAAAGTAAAATGCAACTGCACATTAATTTTTGTACATGTACATGTTCATTGAGATTTAAGTAATGATGAAAGAAATGGTTAACCAACTGGTTAATCGTCCAAGACTGAATTGTGTGACATTAATTATCAAACAGAGACAATTCGTGACATTAGAACTTAGAATTAGAACTTGAATGTTTGCCTAAAAATTGGACAATTCCACCAAAAAACCATTGCAAAACCACACTGGAAGAGAGAAAGACAGTTACCAGAGCAGTGTGACCCAAGTTGAGTGTCCTTGATTGTTTGGAATACCTGTGAAAAATAACTGAACTAGAGGACAACTGTTAGTGACAGAAAACAAAAAATACAAGGAAAGAAAAAAAGTAAAAACGCTTTATACAGTAAAAAAAAGTTTGCCGTGCATCGANATTGTCGTGATGTCACTGGTGGAATTTTCAACTGGTGAAAATTCCTACCTGCCAAACAGGTAGGAAAAGTCCTTTAAAATGGCATAAACAATCAGGAAATAATAAAGGACTTTTAAGTCTACTAACTAGATGCATGTTCAGAAACTGCTGAGAAACAATTGAGTCAGCTCCTGAAACTAATACTTTTCAGGTTACAATTTATAACTAATTTGTAAACTGTGTATTTTAATATTATTGCAGGTGATGTGGGAATTGTAAAAGAAAGGATGCCATATTTTTTGGAAACTGCAGTTGCACCTTCTGAAACAAAGGGGGAAATAACATTGTCCTATCCAGCAAACCAGTTAAGTGGGAGTAAATATCCAATATACCGCTTCAAAGATTTCACTGATGAGAAAGTTAAGGTGGCTGTCAACCAAGTGTGCCATTTGCTTGGTTGCTATGGGGACCTTGCACTTATATGTGATTATTTCCTGGACTTGTTTTATGAGTCAAGGCTCTACCAGAAGCAAGCTGTTTACATCCTGACTGAGATTATGTTTGGTTCCGCCAGAAACACGGTTATCAAATTAAAAACTAGTACCTGTAATGGTAAGAGGTCACACATTATATATCACTGATCTCATGTGCTTTCTGGGATGAATTCAAATTAATCTGTTTCACAGAGTTCTGAATAAGATTAAATCTGTAGCTTCATATCATTAGAAGCAGTGATCTAAGTAATAGATTGCAAATCATAGGAACAGAAATGTGTTGAGTTCAAATCAGATCAGGTTCTTTGATTTCTGACCTTCTAAGAGCAGGTAGTTGTTTCTCAAACCACACATGATTAGTGTTTTCCAATAATAATAAATATATATCTTTTAAATGGACACTCAAATCTTAAAAGTAAAATGCAACTGCACATTAATTTTTGTACATGTACATGTTCATTGAGATTTAAGTAATGATGAAAGAAATGGTTAACCAACTGGTTAATCGTCCAAGACTGAATTGTGTGACATTAATTATCAAACAGAGACAATTCGTGACATTAGAACTTAGAATTAGAACTTGAATGTTTGCCTAAAAATTGGACAATTCCACCAAAAAACCATTGCAAAACCACACTGGAAGAGAGAAAGACAGTTACCAGAGCAGTGTG